CAGGTTTAAGAGGAGGAGAGTCCTTTACTTCATTGATACGAACTTTCGATATTCTAATTATTTAGGCTGTAGTTCCATATATGGGATCTCATTAATTAATATCCATGGGGAAGGCAGTAGTTAGAGTTAATTCAATTATTTTCTTCGACCCCTACCCTGATTGGCTTTCTTATTTTTGAGATTTTGATACTTTGATTAATATATGATTGCTTCATTAAAATTTGGTAAGTGATTTCAATGATGGTTTCATGAATGAAAATCCAATCATTATGGTTTTATAGCTCTTAATAAGGGTCTAATTGATTATCTTCTGAGTTGTTGGTGAAGAGTTGATATGATGCAACAAAAATGTCATCTGATTGCCATTCTGAATTTATTTCGAATGAGGTTTTTGGACATCAATTTGATTCATTTATTAAATCTCCAATCTGCAAATGTTCACAGTGATTTTTGTGATGATGATTATAGTTATTTTATTGCATTCTGTGTCATCAAAGATGAAACCTAAAATTAAAGAAGGAATCAAAATTGAATTAGAATGCAAATGAATATGAATATGACAACTAATTGTTTGAAATATAAACGAAGCTGTAGAATTAGAAATAATCTAATAGAAAGGATCTCTTGTTGATCTCTGCAATTAATTTATTTGATTCATAGAATCGATGTGTTACTTCTCCAAGCAAGAGACTACTTACTAAATGGGCTTAGAGTCCATTATTGAACGATAAATTATTTATGGAGAGGTAAGAATGTCACCAAGAACTATCTACTTTAATACCTAAAAGTAAGATAATAAAGAAAAAAATCAATTATTACTACAGTTAGAACTTGAGTAGTAACACCATTCATTCTCACAAATTGTAGGTGAAGGTATAGAAAAAACTAAACTAAATGACCTAAAGATTTATTCAGTTCAAAAAGACAGCAATGATTGTAGACGGCATTTAGGAGTGATTAAATAAATTAAGAAGGTGGAATCTCTTAAAAACTACCTTCATCAATTCTATTCATATGCGAAAGAACTTTTCTAATAGATCTCCTATGAGCCGATTGTCCGTATATTAGTACTCCCTTTGGCACTGGTCTTTAATAAGTGAAGGGAATCTTGTTTTCTAACTATCAAAGAATTAAATACAAGTGATGTTTCAAAAAATATGACTTAAAGTCCAATGTCCCTCGTATTATTTACACTCTCTCATACATAAACTTGTAGTTTTTAAGATAACACCAATTGAGTATAAGCATAATATTGAATTAATAATTCCAGGAAACATCCCTGTTGTGAAGATTCAATATAATATTATTATTAATATAAAATATTGATGTTATTAAATAGGAAAAACAAAGTTCAAAATTATAATTTTTAGATATAAAACATTAAATCATGTAAGATTTGGAGAATCTATTTCTTTTTTGAATGTTGTATGGAACCTTAATTCTAATTTTAGGAGTAAATCGTTGTTTTATTTATATATAAAATATTAAATTATATATAAAATGGATAATTCACTTGGTATGTTCAAAAACATTAATCAAATTCCCACAAATAGTCTCATCAGTTTAATAATACTATAGATTCCTTCTATTTTCTAATAAGCCCTTTCCACAAGATATAATACAGTTTATATTGCCAATTAATTCATTCTTATATTCCAGTCAAATTTGATTAAATCAACCTCCAAATATGCTTTATTTTATCTTCTTTCTCTAAAAATAAATGATTTTCTTTAATTTCATATCAAATTAATGTGAATATCATATTTTATTATTAGCCTTCTTAAATGAGATTGTTCAACAAATTTTCTCCATAAAAAATCTAATTATGAATCAAATTTATATCAGAATTTTAATTCGAGCTATTTCTTTATGCCTTGTTTTTTTTATCTAAGATAATTGAAAATAGATTCTTAAGGACCTTTTCAATTTCAATCTTAATTGTGGGACCTTATGTTAATTGAGACAGGATAAAATTTATTGGAAAGATGAATATAATTATTTTTTATTAAATTGTCATGAGTTTTGGTTTAAATTGCAACAGTAATTAGCTAGACTTAATCCATTCCTTTCTGTCATTGCTATTAAATTCCTTCTAATTGAAGTAGTTATGAATAACTCGTTCTAAAGCATGATCATTTTCAGTTTTTTTTTCTCCTTTTTTGTTTTCATAATTTAAAAGTCTTTTAATGGAAGGGCATGTTGACCTTCCATTAAAAATACATTATGAATAAAAAACACACCTATCAGTTATTTGGTAATAACTGGGATCAAAAAAACACCATTGTTGAACATAATTTTCC